GCCTTTCTTTGACTGAGAGCGGTCAACTGCAAATGTGTAAACAGAAATATGTGCATAATTAACATTGACAATTGTACAGGACCTGCCCAAATGGTCCATTAGCTGTATGGGAATTAAATTGTTCACATTGAGCAAGCTAATTCCCATATTTAGAATAGACAACAGTCTTCTGCGGGATGGGTTCTAGTCACAAACATATGTTTGTGGATATTATAGCTTGTTTCCAATAGTTTCAAGGGACACCATAGGCACCCAGACCACTTCAGCTCATTAAAGTGGTCTGGTTGCATAATCACAGGTCCCTTAACCCAGCAAAGGTAATTATTGCAATTATTAATCAATTGCAATATTTACCTTTATGGGTTAACTCCACCTCTAGTGGCTGTCTACTAGACTGCCACTAGAGTGACTTCCAGGTCGTTAGACGACTTGATTACCTAACTTATGCTGGACTTCCTCACGCTATGCATGTGGACATCCAGCGATACCAAAATCCCCATAGGAAAGCATTGTTTAATGCTTTCCTGTGGGGAAATCATAATGCGAGCGCAACCATTGGCACGCATGCGTATTAGGTCTCCCCTCGCCAGCTTATGTCGGTGGGGGAGGAGCAGAGGCGGACCAGCTCCGAGGGACATCGGTGCTGGACTGAGGTGAGTGACCTCCTCCATTCATCCTGTGTCTGTTGGAGTCCCCTTCCATTTTCTCTTTATACTGCCTCTCTCGGCAAACGTATTGCCTCATTTGGATTCCACTACCACCTGTACGCTGATGACACCCAGCTATATTTCTCCTCCCCAGACCTCTCCCCTGCCGTCCTGCACTGTGTCACTTTCTGCCTTTCCTCCATCTCTGACTGGATGTCCTCCCGCTTTCTAAAACTAAATCTCTAGAAAACTGAACTCCTTGTCTTTCATTCTCCTAATGCTGATCCTCTTCTTTCACTCTCCCTTCAAGCAGGGCCGGACTGGCCCACCGGGATAACAGGAAATTCCAGTCTGGAATGCGGCCGGCCCCCTGCCTTCTCTAAGGTAAATTGGGGGGAGAGGGAGAGATAGGGAAAGGGGGTAGGGAGGGAGAGAGGAGAGACACAGGGAAAGGGGGGAGGGAGGGAGAGTGGAGAGACACA